TTACCTTCCTGATCGCCAAAAATTTTGGTTGGTATCAATACTTACAAGAGTTTTTTCTTCAAATCTAAAACGCACTTGTTATTTTTATATAAAGGAGGTTTTACCTGTCAGACATCTTGTACGCACGTTGTTTCATCCAGTTGTGTTAATAGTTCGCTTGATCCTTTATGATCCGTTAATTATGATGATGTTTTTCGGTTGTTCTACAATTGTTAGTTTCAAAAAACAAGTAAGTGTTTATCAAATTTACAATTTATAACTCTAACTTTGTTAATCTCTTGTAGCAATAAAAAATGCTCTGAGGAAGGTTACAATAAATAACCGAAATATAAGCTTTTTAAAAAAGTTGTTTCTTTAATTAAAACCTGGACCGTACACCCCGAATAGTCGCATTTACTTGTTGCTCACTTGTATCGGTCGTAGATACTTCTTTTCTGCATTAGTAATTGTATACATCAACTAGTAAAAGTTTACATTTCGTATTTTATATACACATTAACTAGATACATTAGTTAATGTATGCATTGACTAGACAATGTGTACATTCACGGAATGAATGCTTTAACTGTAACATATACATTCGCAGTCATCAGTTCATCGATGCAGTATTTAGCCATTCATACAAGAATAAACCGTAGATTTAAATCTCATCTGATCGGATCACTTTATTTCGCTCTAAACCTGGGGTAGTAAAGCTATACACTAACCGGACAGCCTTGATAACTTATGCCGGGTTTATACAGAATTTAGCTTTAAATTTAAAGAGTTAGATTTAAGGATTTTATTTAGCTTTAAGAAATTTAGCTTCAGACATTTAGCTTTAAGAAAAAAATTGTATAAACCCGGCTTTAGTTTGTAGGTGCTTTCAACATATTGGCATTCGATATGTTGTAGGAGTGAACTGAGTTGATCAGATCCATTCATCGCTGGCTTTGTCTCTCATAATTAGGTAATTATACATGAAGATGAAGTAGTGGATTTCTGCAACATTGTAAAAATATGAGCACAAAAAACGCGGTTTAAGGTTCTGTTTCAAAAGTAAATGTTATCAACCCTATCGTTTCTGGCAAAGTAAACTATGCCTCCTCAATGGACAATATTGTAGTGGAATACTTTTATCGGGAAGATGTAGGATCCATGGTATTGCGAATTAGTATGTCAGGTTATGGACTGTTCAGTAAATTGTAATGAGAATTCTTTCTCAGAATTTCCGGAGCCAATTTTTGGCAGCTGCGAAGAGTTTGCATAAGAACAATAACGCTATATATCCAATCATAAAATACCTTACACTATAAAATGTGTTATAGGCGACAAATACATATGGTTATGGGATTATCCACGTTTGTCGCCAAGACAAGTCATGAAAACAAACCATTTATTACCAAAATTTTCACATAAACGGAATCTAGTAATATAATTTTCTGAAGAATCATTAACACATTATCTCCCTTATTCAAATTAACTTAAACAACTTCGTCTTTAATGTTGAAATCCTATGCATTTTCCCCCATGAAAAACGTTCTAGTGGTTTTGGGAAATTCGGTGTACTTATTGCTACTTTTGCGATGACCTACCCCAAAATATCGAAATTATCTTGGTTCATGTCCACTGTATGTGGCATGATTCCGGTTAGAGACTTTGATGTTCGAGCGAAGAAAATAATGTATTATAATATGTCCTTCAATTTTTATAAGCGTTCTAGAGGGAGAATGATGAGTTTAGTAAAGAGGAAAATGCATAAAGCAGTTCACTAAAGAGTACAGTACCAGATTGCAAGAGAAATATGGACAAAATGCATAGGTTGCTAAAGAGAAGTAGATGCAGAATGTAATGTTTACCAAACACGATCAGATACAAAATGGTTAGCCTATTAAACAGGAACGAACGCACACAACATAACCGTAATAGCGTCAAAAAAGATTATAGCATTATGGAAATTATGCCAACACACTACTTGTGTTGTAATGCAAGAAATGTTTTAATAAATTACAAAAGTTAAAAAACATATAGTATATAATATGAAATGCAATAGTATTAGAAAAATTAAAAATTAATATGCAATTTATACTTGGTAAATAGAAACAAATGCAAAATACAAAGTGTGTAGAAAAGCATCGGGCATATAAACAACTTACAGAACCAGAACAACGTTAACAGTGATTATAGTAATATGGAACCATGCCAGAAAGACAGAAAGAAGTAAGGAAGTTTTCAAGGTATTATGAAATTCAGAGTGAATATTGAACGAAATAATAAGTTTTGGAAAAACTAAGAATATGTATGTAATTAAATTTGAAAGAAATTAAAAAATTCTAAACACAGAATATTTATTAGGATATCATGCTACATATCGTATAGAAAATATGGTAAGTAGTTACAAAGAGAGAAAAATGCAGTTTGCGCACATATTTGAAAAAAAACAAGAAAACATTGGATGTTAATATCATAGTTTAGATACAAAGAAGAGAACATGTTCTAGAAAAAAGAAGAACAAGGTATCATGTATAGTCCACTAAAAAATAACAAGATGCAGAATGTGGAGTCTATAGAAGAGTAACAAGGGAGGTATGTAGAGTCTGTCAAGAAAATGCATAATATAAAGTCTGATAAAGAGAAGTCAATTTAGAACAGAACTATGGTAGACCTGAGATAACAAAAATGCACAATACAGAACAGCATGGCAACCCCAGAGGAGGCCGATGGCATCCTTTTAAAAACACAATGTGTGTAAATTTAGTTTTAGATAGATAGGTAGATTTCTCTATTCTGTTATTAAGAGAAACATCTTTTACATTCGTCACATGGTACATATAGCATAAAGTAAAAGAAAGAAAGATTAGAAACTATAGAAACGCCATCGGCAATCTCTACAAATAATCGAAATTGTTTATCAGATATTCATCAATGATATAGAAACATTTAAATCCAAGGTAGAGCCTTATTTTAGTTTTAACCTGCTTAGCATCAAGGGCCAAGACACGGTCGGGCAGCACATTGAACAGCTATTGGCGTAATAGTAATCATCAGATTTGGTGGAATTCCCCGTAGAGCAAACATCAATGACTCAATCTTAGACGCGTTCCCCGCCAGATTATTAGATTCAAAGCAAAATAGGAGGTTCCGGTTACAGCTAGACACAATTTCACAGACCAAGTATAGATCCTTGTGGGATTCCGTAAATTAACTATAATTTTATCAGAAGTCTGGTTGTTGAAAGAAACATACTGAGTACACTTCGAAAGGAAAGACTTAAGTAGTAAAATGTTCACTAAAATTGTGAGCTTTTAATTTTAGCAACGCAGTCGAAAGCCTTGGTCAAATCAAAAAGAGTTTTCTAAGTTAGCAGATGTGTATTCATAAACATTTAGTTGTGCAAAGGTAACAAACTAGTAACTAACCATAAAAGTTAATACATATATTAACATGTATGAATTTTGGATGAAACGGAGAGAAATTAATACATTGCCTGTTATATAATATATCCGGTTTGTTTTTTTACCAACTTTTTTAATATAGCATGTGTATATGAAAATTCGTGTTTTTTTGGTGACACTAATTTCGAATTCTATTAAAATTTAAAGTTAAAAAAACCAAATGAAAACGGCAAAAATCCTTTTTTTTTGTGAACATGTAAACGGCATGCGGCAGCTAAACCAATATATATTGATTCTAGTTGAAAAAGTTAAAAAGTATTCGACAATATTCACGGAGTAAAGAATAATAAAAACTTTTTGTTCTTAGAGTTTCAATTTTTACAAAATTTTATCTAGAATATAGATAAATTCACTTTTATTGTTATAAACACTTTAATTTTTTTTTTGCTATTTAGCTTCAAATAAACAGAATGATAAATAAAGTTTAAACACTTTCCGGTATTTTTTAGTGCAACTAAAATTCTTGAAGAAGTCGTCGGGATTCTTCGAGATTCTGCAGTTGCAGACTCGGCATAGTTAAAATTCATGAATTCTCAACGAAATCCAGGACGTTCCTCGTTGGAGCAAAACTTCCTTCCGGTTTAATTATCCTGGAGCTTATAATTTCGGCCGCACCTATCCAAATAATTTCCATATGTCCTCGTAGATATGCAAAACCGAGCGCGTTGGCCGAAGTCGTCGTCGTTGCGGCCAAATAACCAACCATTAATTAACATCACCAGACAATTACTGCACCACTTGTTCGTCGATCGTTGGTGGTTGCTGAGCGAGCGTCTGCCCCCGGAATAATGAAAATCCTTTTAATTTTGTGTCAGCGCAGCTTTGGTCCATAGATAATCTTCAATTCTCGCGCGACGGATTAAGAACGGAGTAATTTTCCTGGTCTTGATGTAACGAGTGCGGCTCCAGAGTTTTTGCGCTAATTAGTAATCATTAAGGCGCCGCTCTCGTTACCGTCTTTTGGATTTACTTCGCGAAGCCGCCCCCGCTAACTTATCGCCAAACTTTGCGTGGTCATTACTTTGCTCAACGCGATTATTATACGGTGTTTTATGCGGAGGGTTCTCAGATTTATTTTATTACTTACCTCAGGTGCCGTTTCCTCCCTTTACCAAAACGGTATATTTACTTTTAGGACTCATCCCCAACCCAACTTTTGTGGGGTAGAATTATTAAGGTTTGACAAGGGTCGATTAAGCTCTACTTAAAATACTACTACGCTTCATGAATGTATAAAATGTTACGTAGCCCTCTTTCAATTTCTTATTGAAGTTAACAAGAAGAGTTTATAGAAAAAGAAAGAAAATTTTTCATTTTGAAAGTCTTAGAATTTCGAATAAGAAGAGGATGTTCCGTCCGGAATTCTTCGTAATTGAACTTCTATGTTTCAAATACAACAGCCGCGCGGCATCTATGACCCAGCGAGGTTTTACAGAAACGAGGCACATTTTACGACGCGAACTTTATAGAAAGCGTCTACGAAGTTTGTTTACGTTTGTCGGTAAAATATTACTGCCGCGCTTTGTCCTCGTAAAGTTTCTGAAATGTATTTCAAGAAAACCTCACCTCGTCCTTCCCCTTCATTACGCACATCTTGATATCTTGATCGTTTGAGTACCATTGCAGTCTTTGCTGTTCAGCCAAATCGGTTAAGCTTAAATTATACACCAGGTTCCTGTAAGAAAAAAATAACAAGATTAAAGATGTTTCCGGTTAAAGTGTTCGGATATAGAGGTGGTGGAAGGTGATGGCTATAATAAAAGTAAAATCCCCTTAGATAATGGGTTTATCTGAACGTTATAGGTTAATAAAATACATTGCAGGGTAATGTAGCTGTGCTGTTATAATAAATCTAGCAAATTTCCTTGTTTATACGAGCGTTTATCGTGATATGGTTGTTCTAACGGTATCTTCGCATCTCAATCTCATAGTTTATAGGCGAATAAAGATGGTTTATTTCCTGCTAGATATATTTATAACCAAAGTTTTCATAAAATCGTGCACAATGTTGTAAAGCAATAAATCAAGTTTTAAATAAAATTTTCTTTTTACTGATGGTTTATTTACGTTCAAGAAAAATAATTAAAAAAAACACTTCCCGTTCGTGATACCGTTCGAGTACTAAAGACTAACGACCGATAAGTGCATAATCGCGAGATGGCATCTCGTGGCAAAAAGTAGGCATTAACGGTGGCTTTCGTCGCGACGACGACGTCGACATTGGCGTCGCAACGCTCCGGCAGCCGAATATGGATGAGCTTCTTAGCTGACGTCGACGACTGGATTTACAGTTTTTGCGTGCATTGCTGCAGTTTAAACTCGGATCTGCCGAGAAGATCGTTTTTCATAGCATCGCTCCCGAGGGCATAACTCTTCCTATCCCGGCAGAGCATTAATCTAAAGTCGCTCTCCGCGGCGCAGAAAAAAATACCGGGTAATTTAGGGGGAATGTGGCGCACCAACCGAACAAAGGAATAGTGTATGATATGCATCTACGGTGTAAATTTATGTGGACGGTAAATTATTATATATAAAAAATCGCGGGCGGTCGTATGTTAGTAGCGAAAAGGGAAAACAAAGGGGGTTGTTTTACTACTATTACGAAATGTGAATGTATGTTGAGTATTACGCTGCAGATATCAGTATATCAGCATGTGGTCTTTTAACACAACTAACCATAAAAAAGTGTAGTCATTATAAAAATCTAAAAAAATTGTAAAAACAAGTCCATAAATTTGTTATAATTTAACTAACATTTGTAAAAAAACTTTCGAATTTAAAGAATGTAATGGAAAAAATGGAGGAAAAGAATGTTTTCAAAAATAGATTTGACTAGGATTCTTTGCTAAAAGCAAATCAAAATGATCTTTGCAAATCACGCTAGAATTATTCACATGACATTTTTTTTCAATTGAGGGCAGAAAATAGAATTCTTTACATTTCCGGGCCATGTTTCAAAAAAGCTAAATTCGAAAAAGGAAAAGATCTTTAATACCAGCAGTAAAGAAAGACGCTAGTTACGATTTGGCAACACAATCGAAAAGAATGAAGAAATTAAAGCGTTCTAACACAACAATAATTAAAATCATGCTGTGCAAACATAAAACAAAGCGACAGCCTTAACCCCTTGTTGCTTAATCTACTCATGGATAGAATAATACGAGTGGACAAAATATCAAAATTGTGTACTACGCATATGATGTTATTCTACTGAGGATGTCCTGCAATGGTTAAGATAGACATTTAACATTGCAGCTGAAGCAAGCAAGATCAAGACCATGACGATAGCAAGAGAACTATTATTAGTCGCTGGTCAATAGTCGCTGATGTGCTAAGTCACACAATCTGAAGAAACAACTCTAATAAAATCAAGAATAGAATAAGAAGACCTCTCATGACATGTGGGGGAAACAAGTACCGATATTCGAGATGAGTGTGATACCATGAATGTAGTGCGAACGAGAAGAAGAGGGTGGAACGAGTCATAGAAAGTCGATCCGTTTGCCTGAATTTATACATAAAGTAGTTAAATTATTATTATTAAAGTCACTGTGAAGGCTACCACCAGGACGCCTTAAGTGGTAGCGAGTGTTGGACTTCCTCATCTTAAGATGCAACGAAGAATGACTAACACTTGCCTAGGGTTTCGTCAAGAAAAAGTGTGAAAGTGACTAAACGTAACTATATTTGGTTATTATTGGTTTATTATAAAGAGCAACTATAACAAATAAGTTTACACTACTGGCGAAGAAGATTTAAAGTTCATTAATGTTATAGATTTTGATGAAATGAGGTTTTCTTTTGATTAATACAAAACATAATTCTCTTAAAACTTCGAAACTACGTTATCAAAACATCTATTCATTAAAAGAGTTATCCATGTTGCAAGGTTAATAATCTAATAAAAACCATGTAAAAACTTCTAACTTGCATTTATTTATATAAAGTCGTACTAGTTTCGGGTTACCCCATCATCAGCGACAAAGTCAATGAAGCTATAATAGGTGTAGACTGGAAATCAGAGACTCAGTCTCGCCTCATCTCATCCCATCAACGCATTCTCTTAAAGTTTTTCTAATTTTTAACATTCCACACTTTTTAACGTCGCCATTCCTTTTTCATCTTTTATCTTCATTTTGTTTATCCATCAGATAGCAAAATGCTTTATTCTTATCTGATTTCCAGTCTACACCTATTATAGCTTCATTGACTTTGTCGCTGATGATGGGGTAACCCGAAACTAGTACCACTTTATATAAATAAATGCAAGTTAGAAGTTTTTACATGGTTTTTATTTATTCATTAGTTTGAAATTAATCCATTACTTTCTTAATTTCAATAAACTGCGTTGGCCTTACCAGTTAAAAATGTTCTAGTATCGCTGTGATAATGAGAACGTTTAAAGTCGATTTCCAAAATCAATGGGTACGCTCAGCAGATGTCAACAGTTAAATTACATCAGTCAGCTAGATGTATGAGCTTTATATACAGCGGAACGAAATCGGCTGAACAAGCAATTGAGAATTAGCGGTTCTGCATAACCTAAAACTATGGCCAACAATAATATTTTTGAAAATTTTGTGTTATTACAAGAGATAGTGGATGATGCGTTTCTGCATTAACAATATTTATTTTTATACAGTTTTGTCACTTTTCAAAATTAAAGGGGAGAAACAAAAAATGTTAATCCCAACCTAGAATTTCACAACCGCTGACAAACTAAGCGCAGATTACTTGTGCTGAGATGGATATGAGGTTAAATTATTTTCTTTGTACTTTATCGATGTTATTTATTTTTTTTTTCTACATGTTTCGAGGAATACTCGAGCGCTTACTTAGCGTATCGTTCAGCCGCGACTGCTAATACAGCAACTCAACAGTTGACACCGGCTGAACGTGCTCAATGATACTCTATGTGCCAGAAAAATCTGACTTATCATTGTAAAAATTTAAACGTCAAGAATATAGATACGGTGATTAACTGTATAGCTTTCTTTTGGTTCGGCAGATTTGTAGTTTCGAACCGTCCTGCGCATGCGTGTTAAAAAAGTGTTTTAAGTCTGTGTTTTATGATGTTTTAGTTGTGGTAACGACGCTAAACCGTACGCAAATAGAAATGACTTGTGATATTCAAAATAATTCTTTTTATCATCAAAACAAAGGCATTTTTTATATTGCAAAGGTAAGTAGGTATCTATCTCATTCCTGATACCTATATTTTTAACTTCTTCTTCTGACGAAGGAATGATTCCAGTAATTTTATCTGAAATTTTACAGCCTCATCCAATAAACGAAAATTATATTGTGGACATTGTTCCTCAATATACAGTCATACGATGTTTGGAGCATATTAGAATTTCAAAAGATTTGAGTACAAAATTATTAACAAATTTTGAAAACAGCGATTATTATTCATAATCTAATACTGGTATAGATATAGATATATTTGATAGAATACCAGCGGAAAAGTGCATTGTAATATTTTGCTGGTACGCTGGTCATGAAGTTGCTATCACCACGTTACACTATTTAATCGAAAAAGTTGTCTATTTTCTTACCAACAAGTCACCAACATCATATTAAAATTGATAGACAGACTGAAGATTCAGATTCCTATTCAAATAGAAAAAAGTTAATATATAAAGTTAATTTCTTGTAGTATAAGATATATTTGTTAGTTGTTAAAGAGTGTGTTTCTAGGCACAAGAACTTACTAAAAGAATTGTTGATGTTTTTATTGGTTATCCAGGATCAGTGCATGACACCAGAGTTTTCGATCATAACCATTATTCATTTATTCCAAGTTTGTTATTAGCACTGAGCAACATTTTTGTATTTATGGCTACTTTACGTACGTTAAAAAAAATGTCGGTAATGTTTATTTTATTAATTCAGAATTTAATGTTAATACGTTACACCCTTACCTTTATCACTTTCGCAACTTATGTTAAATGAGTTATAAATTAATGTTCAAAAATAAATAGAATTAAACAATCTAAAAATAGCGATATTTAGTTACTACGTCAAATAATGTTGTGTTTCGTTGGCTTTTAGGTTACGAAATGTGTTGCTTTTTTGGTTAGTTCGATATCTGTTCACAACAGTTCACAGCTTTCTGTTTCAATTGTACGATTAGAACTGTTCGGAACTTATTCTGTTCACGACCAGTTCAAAACAATTTGGAATCGTTCAGAATCGATACCGAAAAATTGAATCAAAACAGAGCTTTCAGGTTCTTTTTTTTGTGTCAATCATGTCAAGAAAATATCTGCAAAAGCTGGGATCACCATTTTATAAATATTACCCACCAGAAACGCTTGAAACTGCGTTAAAAGAGATTACAGAACATGCTTTGTCGTTACGCCGCGCCTCTAGTACGCATAAAATACGCGTCGTAATAAGACGAGATGTTCCAAGACGTAAAGAAACATTACGAAATGTTCCAGCTTGCAACGTTTTCAACTATGACGAAACAAATTTACAAAACGAAAAGTACCCAGAACTAGTCTAAAATTTTACAAAAATCGCTACCGTTATAATAATGTTTGATTCGACAAATGGTTATTGCTGCCTCCGTACATTATATACAAGGCGAAAAAAAAGGCAACAATGAATTTAATTAGGTTCCAAGGGTGAACGATGTTGTAATGATAGATGCTGTAGTTTTGGTATTTG